TCACCTGGAACCAGCACTATGGTCAGGAGACCAGATAAGTGGATTGGTTTAGGTTAATCTGTGCTCACTGCTAGAGCTCCCCACTAAACCAGTAATCAACCATGGAGACAGGGTATATGCCCCTGAAGGAGGGTAAACGGATGCCAGGCTGTCAAAACAAGAGGGGACCACTCTCATAGCTTAACAAAATCACTGTTCACAATTTTGGTTGTTTTGCCTTTTATAAATGCTACCGAGCAAGGGCTCAATTTGCTTGCAGCAAGATAAAAGGCCAAGCAGGCGGTGGTAGAGAAAGAACTTTAATAAGCGATGAGCTGGCATATCGGAAGATGGGGGACTATCACCCTAAAAAACCCATCCTAAAGGGGAACTGATTTGGAAATGACATATAAGGCAAATGGGATTGGGGAGGGGGCTCAGGAGTGTCAGGTCATGGATGACTGCAGAACGCTGGGCGCTTCTCCATAGCAGATCTGCTGAATGCAACATTCCTGAGGAATCTAAAAACCCTCAGTTACTTCTTTATCTGGGACAGAGGAACAGTCTGGGCAGAGAACAAGTTATTCTTTCTACCAGTCACAGAGTAGTCTGCCTACATGCAGTTCTAAGCGTTTTCCCAAAGCACATTGTGAGAATAAGACAGGGAGGGGGTGTATGCGGCCTTGGGGGCTGAAGCTGGAAGAGTCTTCTGCGCAGGGGCAACTGCTTAATGCTCCCGCGAGATGCTTAGCCAGGCGGAGCGCTGTCAGCAAGCTACTCCCTTTGTCAGCAGTCCTCCTGCCTTTCTGCAAGGCCAGCTCAGACACTTTGGTTACTTTGTCTCCCATGTTAACCTTGTGGGCACAGGTGCAGTTTTATCCTAATCCAGGGAAACTTTAACTCCTTCATCCTTGGTTTCACAAAGACTATTTGATTTTTGAGAATCAAAAACACAAGAGAGGGGCCGGCCCGGTGGCGCAAGCGGTTAAGTGTGCGCACTCCGCTGTGGCGGCCCGGGGTTCGCTGGTTCGGATCCCGGGCGCACACCGACGCACTGCTGGCAAGCCATGCTGTGGCGCATCCCATATAAAGTGGAGGAAGATGGGCACGGATGTTAGCCCAGGGCCGTCTTCCTCAGCAAAAAAAGAGGAGGATTGGCGGATGTTAGCACAGGGCTGATCTCCTCACACACACAAAAAAAAACAAAAAACAAAAAACAAAAAAAAAAACACAAGAGGATACCTGGAATTAAATATTTTTTCAGTGTATGGATTAGGCACTACAGGATGTGTGTCTTGGACAGCCTAATTGACAGCCCTAAGGTCTTGAACAAACCTATATTCCCCTGTTCTTGGTTTTGTTACGGGTAAAATGGGAGTGTTCCACGGAGATCTACATGGCCTGATCAATCACTGTTCTAAAAGCCTATTAACTACAGGAAGGATTCCTCTTATGGCTTCTGGCTTCAAAGGGTATTGTTTTACCTGGGGCCGGTGATCCATCTGCTTCAATGTTACCTTTACTGGCATGGCACTGGCTGCTCGCCTCACCTGTCCTTGTGCCCATACTTCCCAGTTAACTCGGCTTAAAACATTTAGGGTAATCTCTTGGTCTCAGGCGCTGATGGACCCTGTAATAGGGCCATAAGCTCAACTCCCCAACTTTTGGGGACTTGGATCTCTATTTTATCTGTTCCCAGCTTATTGAGGCCCCTAATTTAGATAGTATATCCCCCCCTAGAAGAGGAACAGGGCATTCTGGTACACACAGAAAGCAATGCTTCAGCAAGTTTGATCCCACTTCACAGGTCAAGGGCTCCAAAAACCTTTTGGTCTCTCCTTTTCCGGACACTCCTTTTATGTCACACTTTCTTTTTGAAATGTTTCCCTTTTGGGTATTCAGCACTAAGAACATAGCTCCAGTATTGAGCAAGAATTCGACATGCTCTCCTCCCACTGTTAATGTCACCCGGGGCTCCTCAGGGGAGATGAGGATTGGGCTCCCCGGAGCCAACCGAGTTGCCGCCCGGCCCCATCACATGTCGTCTGTAGTCAGGAGAAGTTGCCACGGCTCGGTCGTGTTCAATCCCTTCCCTCTATGGGGACGGTTTGAACAAGCCCGCTGCCAGTGCCCTTCCTGTTTGCAGCACGCGCACTGGTTAGCCCCCAGCTTTGTTGGTGGCTTTCTGGTCCCTCGGTGGGGGCCGCGGTTACTCACCTCTGGTGTCTTCCTTCTCTCCCGCGGGTTACCTTCAGTAGACCTTAGGGCGACAGCTGACAGGGCGGCCTCCCTTTTCATCTGTTTGTCTTCCTCTTCATGCTCGGCTTCACCCTGGTGATTGAACACCCTAGATGCAGCCTCTACTAGTTGTGCAGGTTACTATGAGGACCTGTAGCCAACTTTTGGAGTTTTCTATGGATGTCTGGAGCAATTTGAGATATGAAACAGGTATTAAGAACCACTGTACTGCCCTGGGCCTCAGGGTCCCAATTTGTATATGGCCTGAGGCAGCCCCGCAGCCTCTGAAAAAAAGTGAAGGAGTTTTCCTCAGGGCCTTGTGGGACCTCTCTCAATTTAGCCCAGTGAACGGGTGGCTGGCTTCCTATTTTCATGGCTTTCAAAAGCAGACCCTGAAAACGTGCTTGTTTTTCTTGATCATCAGGATCATGGGGATTCCACCCACGGTCAGTCCCTGGCACAGCCTGTTCACTAGGCCTGCAAATGTCTGATCCTGGGTCATATTCATTACCTGCTTGTTCTCTAGCTTTTAACAGAACGGATGACTTTTCCTCAGCCGTGAGAAGTATAGTTAACAGGCTGTGAATATTGCCCAGATTGGATTATGAGTGGAGAAGATTCCCTTTATCAGGTTTATGAATTCCTCTGGGTCAGCCCTCAATCCTTTGGTGTGTGCCTTCCAATTATACAGATCAGAGGTGGACAAGGGGACACGCACATTAATGTTTCCCTTCACCATTAGGCACCTGTCTTAGGGGATATACCTCTGGTTTGTAACTGGTTCCTGATCTAGTTGTACTATCTGGGAGAGGAAGGTGAAGGGTCTTTGGTTGTTGGAGAGTCCAATTCCCTGGAGAGGGATTGCTGTGGGGGGACAGTGAAGGGTTTGGCCCTGGTACATCCTCAGGCTTAAACAGAGGCGAGGTAGGGGAAAAAGGTGGAGGTGTCTCGGGGCTCACCACCTGGTCTAGCGGTGGGGCCGAAGCTGGAGTGTGTGAGCGAGGTGGACTCTGAAGTGGGCTTCCCTTAGTCCCCTGGTTCCCGATTTGGAGGAGCAGGTCCCCCGCATCAGAAAGATCTTGTAATATTGTAAGTATTTTTGAAGTCTTAGATTCAACCTTTAACCCTTCATTTAGACATAGTGCGATGAAGCACTGGCCATACAGGATTTCTTCCCATTTCCTGGTCCTTTTGCAAAATAGATCTAATTGTAGTATGGTGCTAACACTTAGGGTCCCATTTTCTGGACACTTTCCCCATCCTCCAGTGAATATTTCAGCCAGGCTGTGTGACATAAAAAGATCATCCGCTCTCGGGTCAATGGCGGAATACCCGAAGACCTTCCAATTCTGGAGGATACAGCTCAATGGGCTCTCCTTCAGGATGGAGCTTGCTCCCCCCATATTCTAGCGCCTTCTCTTATGGTCTGTTTCCAACCTCCTGGGAGCAACTTGTAATGGGTAGTGGTGATGCAGATGCCAAAAGGTTGTGCCCAGAGGAGGTTTAGCACCCTGAGAGCCTGAAACTAGACCCAGGCTGTGAAACTAAATCCTTAAAGGGAAAACAAACTTTTCACCCAGCAACCATTGATAGGGAGGGCAAGGGGAAAAAAACAAACAAACAAACCTCAGAGTCCAGAAAAGGCAAACTGTGGAAAAACTTGCAGGAAACTCGATTGCTGTCGCTTGTGACAATCCAGGGAGCCAAACAATAACTTCTGTAACAATTGGCCCAAATGGCCAGGACTTGATTAATAACTGACAGCTTCACTAACTTTTGTGCCTGCTTTCAATTGAGGACCAAGCTTAGAAAGCCAAATATGCTCTCCTGACCAATCACATAGGACGCCCAGCTTCCCCAGGCCAAAGCCGCCAATCAGGGCACACCTGGTGCCTTCCCTTTTTTACACTATAAAGCTTTTCCACTCTGTCTGCCTTTGTGTTTTTAACTTCCTTTTTTTCTTTTTAAATTTTCAAACAGTAATTTAATGTTATCCATTTAAAAGTCAGCTGACAGTTTTAAATATGGAAATTTTAGTTTCTCATCCACATCAACAGATATTACAATTCCTTATGCTCTGCTTGCCTTTGGGTCTGTCACGCAAGTGACAGTAGCTGACTCCCTTGAAGCTTACAATAAATAGCCTTCACTTTTCCCACTTGGTTGGTGTTTGTTTATTCCCACAGCCCTAAGGTACCGAGACCGCAAGAAATCAGGTCTGCCGGAGACCACAGTGGGATATGACCTGCCTCAAAAGGCTGAGGCAGATAGAGACGGAATTTCCAGACTCTACACGTATAATTCAGAACGTGGACAATAGATAGGCATATGTCTTCTATGTATTCTTCTCCTACCCAGCACTGTTATTAGTCAAGTTGAACAATATGCTTTTTTTAACTGAAACCAATGGTGATAGAAAACAAATGACTGAAAGCCTTTAGTACAAAAACAATTTTAAAAATCTAATTATTTGATTTATGACTTACTGACAACAGTTTGCTGACTATACACTTAACTATAAAAGATTCTCAGTATTTCTTCCTTTAGCCTCAACAAATTTACTATTTCAGATAAAAATACAAAAAGTAATATTTCTGTCTATAAAAGTGGCTTCTGACCTGCCACATATAGAATTTACAACTAATCTGCAAACACTAAGATTTGGAATTTATAACTGAATTTATAAAAATTAACATAAGTGGCTGAGACCTTTGAGAGTTGAGAATTAAAAGGGACCACAAATACAAGTTAATGCCACATAATATAGGAATATCACAATGGGATGCATTTGATAATTAGATTTATTGTTTTAAAAAGTAGTAAGTACAACCTTAAATCAGCAGAATGTCACAGCAGATGTTTTGGCTAAATGAAGAATTTGATTTTTGGCTTACCGTAATTAAGTGTAAACCATTGCTTTAAGTGCTGTTTTCAACAATATGCAAAAATCACACTTGATTTGTGAACATTCATTTAATAATTTAAATTCTTCAGAAAACATCAAAAATGAATTGCCATTATATTGTAAATATGATCAATATAAATCTTAAGCTATGAAAAAAAGAACATGATCCCCAAACGCAGCACAAATCTCACCTCCTTCAGAGGCAAAGGTACACCAAAAGTAATAAAAGATATTAACACAATTGATGTGCTGGCAATAAGGGAAACAGAGAACCTGTTTCTAACAGGGATGCTCCCTGGAAGGTTACAGTCGTGGAAGGTAATGAGGTGCCTTAACATTTTCACTTGAAAATTCTGCAAAGGTTCCTTAACGGTCCATCCAATTATTCAGAAGATCTGATCTTCTCAGGAAGCAGCTTCTAACAGCAGGTCTGGGATGCTAGTTGTGACTTGCATTTGGAGCGTGCTGTATTAACAGTGCACAAGAAAAATATGTTATTAAACCTGCAGGCAAACACTTCACCTCCTCCAAGGACTCTCTTCGGAATACTGCCATCCTTTAAATCTGCACTTCGACTGAGTTCTCTGCAGATTTATACACCCTGTCTATTGTAGGAAGCGGAGAGAAAAACTTCAGAGTTCACAGTGAGGCCACTCTATGAATAACGTGACCCACACCCCAAGATTAAGCAGAAATATCTGCGCGCACACACACTAAAATAACAAAACTTACCGCTGCCTTCAAAGCTTGATCTAGATCTTCCAGTAGGTCTTTTTTATCCTCTAACCCCACAGATAGTCGAATCAGTGTGTCACTAATTCCCAGGACATCTCTGTCACTCTTAGGCACTGATGAATGGGTCATGATTGCCCTGGAAGAAAGAGTGAGCAAATTTTTGATCACTATATTGTATCAGGTATGTTTTTAGGTATATTTTTAGGAGGTATATTTTTATCTCAGAAATTGCAATCATCTTCAATTTTTTCAAATCTAAATGTCAAATTCTTCATACATCCATACTTTTTCACAGGCAAAAAAAAATAAGGAATTAAGAAAATTATCTTTTCTAGTCATGATCTTAAGTAGAAACCCACATCTTTCATCATTTTTATGCCATCAGTAAGATCCAGTCAATGCAGACACTGAAGGTGCCAGTCAAGCACTGCCGTGCAGGAGGGAAAGACACAGCCTCCCGGGTGTGGATTCTAACACCTGCCTGAATGAGGACTTGGCCACAAGTCATGCACCCCAAGACCAACCAGCTCTGGATCAGTGGATTAATCCAGAACTGGACCTTCTGAGGCAGATCAGGGAAAGACAACCCAGGATCACTAGTAGCCACCAGTGAGCGGCAGGAATTCCGGCACATCACCCATGACAGAGAGGCCTCCAGGGATTTTCAAAAAACTATCTAGCAACTCATCGTCATCATCGACACGTGGAAAGGCAAAGCGCCTACCGCGGTCAGGCACTATAGTAATAACCGGGAGACCAGGAGGAATGAGAGCTTTCCTTTACCCTAGACAACACGGCAGGAGCTAAAGACTGTGACAACTCACAAACCAGAACAGTCTTCGGCAAAGGCCCCACAAGTGCGGACGGCAGGGAAGGCCAGCGATCCGAGGAGGGAGAAACCGTGGTGAGGCAGCACGGAGGAGGCGCTTCAGGCTCACTGAGCCCTGGTGCGCACACGGCCACCAACGCATCCCTTCCTGCACCCGACCCGCAGATCAACGCCCAAGCAGCTCCTCCCCTCTCACCTCAGACCCGTGGAAAGAAAATCTCAGTCGTGGTCAAAGTAAACGCATACCTTCCTTTATCACTCTAAGGACGTTTCACACGCAAACACCCTCCTTAAAATGTTCTGCCTTTTCAGGCTCTTAATTCCTTACGAGAGAGGGCACACGTAGAAATAAGAACTTAGGCCTCTGAGACCAACAGACTTCGGTGTGAATCACAGCCCCTCCACACCCTGGCTGTGTGGGCTCGTGAAAGTTCCCTGTACTCACAGTGATTTCCGTATCTGAAATAATAATAGCTATCACTTCTTGTGTGCTTACCATGAGGCGGGCACTCTACTAGGTCATGTGTGTGCATTAATTCATTCTTTTAATGGATCAAAATTGGATAGAACACCTATCTCAAAAGTGTGCCACAGTCATTAATGGAAGGAACATATATAAACCACTTACAAGTACCTGGAATGTAGTAAACGCCTAATAAAAACAATAATTCGTAATAGTAGTTAACATTTACTGGGCACTTAGTATGCATCGAGGCGTCAGCTTAGGGATTTTTCCCCCATGTTCTCACAACAACCCTAAGGGCTGGGTTCAGTGTTATCCACATTTACAACTGAGGAAACTGAGACTGAGATGATGATAACTTCCCTAAGGGCACTGAGTTAGCGCGCATCATGTCGTCAGGCTGGGAGCCCAGCCCCCCCGCATGCTGGCTCTGCTTCCCGCCCCTCTTATTGCAATGCTGCAGCAGTTGCAGCCGAGTTGGGAGACACAGAAGGAGGTGATAGATTGGACAAGCCCTGACCTAAATTCACTCGTCCACTGGCATCAAGGTTACCGCCTAGCTGGAGTGTCTCAGGGCCAAGCAACTTTAAACCAAATCCCTAAATACATCAGGGAGGGCTATTTTCAAGAGAGCCTTAAAGTAATAGACATGTCATTACTATGAAAAATAAACCAATTGCACATGCGGAGCGTGCCCTCTCGTGCACCCACACTTCCCAGCAGGCATCTTCTGGAAGGACTAACAAAAACTCATACATGTTATCTTAATTACTTGAATCATTATTTGGGCATCATATACCTGTGAATTTTGTGAAATTGACTTTCTCTCTCCAGAAACCGTAAACCACTATGAGAGGGCAAGGTGCCTACATTTTGGTAATCCCTGACTCTTCTCAGCACAATGCTTCCAGAACATAGTTATTCCAGAAGTGTTTATGAAAATTAAAACACAGAAATGTACAATGTGCACTTAGTAAAGCTGAAAATTAGGAGGTAATGATGCTGATTTACTCCTGCAATAATTACAACATCTGGTCATACAAGAAAGTCAGGATATAGCTCAGGAATGCTTGGTGGGGCAGGTAATCAATAAATGATAATCATTATTTTAATTATCAATCCCATTTTACGGATGAAAAATCGAAGCTCAAAGGTTCAGTAGTCTCAGTCGAGACCCAGGCTGCTTCTACCCCCCCTTACCGTTTCGATGCAAAGCCTCAAGGGTCAAGCTGCTAACATATTCCTGTGTGACATCTGAGCAATCAGAAGTCTCTGAATCTTTGTTTCCCTGTCTGTAAAATAAGTTGTTGGACTGCCTGATCTCAGGCTGCGTTATGTTCTAACACCCTCTGGGGCTTTGCTAAAATTCGATGAATTGATCGGGTCAGGCAGTGAAGGGTCAGGAGTACCAAGTTAGATTTTGCGTTTATCCTGCAGATAATTTGGAGCTATTCAAGGTTTACCCAGAGAGCAGAAAATAAAGGGATGCGACCTTATTATCTAGTAAGGCCCTCCTCTGACCATCCAGGTCAAGGAGGTGTTTCATCAGAGACACACTCCCCACCTCCCAGGGAGCCCTGAAAGCAGCCCTTCCAGTACAAAGTCCCCAACCTCCCCTCCAGGGCAGAGGGGGTGGAACAAGGAGCCCTGGGTCAGAGGTCAGATGGTCCTAAAAGATAATGACTGCTGGAATCTCCTTCAGGCCGAACAGGGAAGGAAGCAAAACCTGGGAGGACACAGATCACAGATAAGTAGCTCCCACCAGATTTTATCAGGCTCTCCATTCTACTGAGGTAGAGTCCATTCTGATTACATTGTGCTATGTTCTTCTGATTGTTCAAGATCTTGAATTATCCCTGACTTTACCATACTCCTTTTGCCAAAGAATCATTAAAGCTGACATCAAAGTTAAAATACTGAGAAAAACAGAAATATACTCACGGAAGCTCAGCAAGACTTTCGAGTCCTCCCAAGCTCTCAGCCAGGTTAAACAACTGTGACAAAGAAAACACTAATTTAGATCTTCCACTAAAATAAAAATACAAAAGTCTAAAAATAAATGTTTTTAAAAAATAGCCCTGGGACAGAAGATGAGAAATGGTGGTGATAATGAATAAACTACAAATTGGGCAAGAAACTCAAAGAAAAAATGAGCATAAAATCTATAACAATGATTTCACCAAGCAGACATATTACGTGTAAACTTTTAAAAACATTAAACGGCGATCAAGGTGTTTCTCCTATACCTTCCTAATTTGGCCCTGTACTTAAGTAATACTTAACATGAGCTCTAAAACCTCAGAATTACTACATTTGAGACCTAGCTCTGTGGTTACCCTTTAAATAAATCTCTAAATGTCTATCAAGTTATACACTTACTTGTTAATATGTAATACTTATTAAATTAATACATCCATTTTACTCCATCCTGGAGTAGAAGAAAAAAACTCAGATTTTGTATTTAGTGTTATAATGTCATAGACTTTTGCAAATATTTTAAGTTACTCTCATAACTGTATTAAATTAGATATACACTACGATCTTTCTGATATTAGACATGTACAAATTTTAGACACCAGGAGGGCTTTGACTAATCTGGCAGCGTCCTATTCATTAGACCCGTAGTATTGAAAGCGCAGAGTCCACTGCGTGAGCTCAGTGTAAGCCCAGTACACGCAGTTAGACAGGCCTCCCTCCTAGGGCCCCGAGAGCCTCCTGTCACTGTGAAAATTAGGCAAAGGCCTCCCTTCCCTCACCCCAGGAAGATGCAGCCTGGGAGGCCCAAGGTTTGGAAAGCCATTCCTAGGCTGGATTTCAGAACAGCCTCGTGCAGTGCACTAACCACACACTACTTCGAGGTCTCACATACATTTCCTTTGAAAAAGGAAATTTATTTATTTATTTATTTATTTATTTATTTAGTGAGGAAGATCAGCCCTGAGCTAACATCCATCCCAATCCTCCTCTTTTTGCTGAGAAAGACTGGCTAACATCTGGGCCCATCTTCTTCCACTTTATGTGGGACATCGCCACAGCATGGCCTGACAAGCGGTGCATCGGTGCGCACCCGGGATCCGAACCCAGGCTGCCAGCAGCGGAGCGCGAGCACTTAACTGCTACGCCACGGGACTGGCCCTGGGGTTCACTTTTAAATGAATTTGAAAACCAGTGCATTAGGACATTCTGTCTTTCTCAGATTGCTGGAAGTGTGTGGAGAGTTAAGTAAATAAACCTACTCAGATGTCTGCTACTGCTCCAAAGTCATTTTCCAGCCCAACATTTCATGATGAAGAGGTTTATGGGTGTGACCTGCAGGTACAGAAACGTGAACCTGAGCTGATGGATGTGAGAGATAGTGAACTGCTGTGAGAAGGTCTCACCTCTGCAATGTAAAAACCTAAGTGAAGGTTTACCTTTAGGTTCTTGAGGAAAGTCTCGGCGTGCTGCAGAGTGCCCTTAATATAAAAGGTGACCATCCCTGGGCAACCTGTGCACTGACGCTTTGCCAACTCGTGCTGCGGATGAGAGGGCAGCCCTGGAATCATAAGGCGTAATAAAAGTCTTACGTTAGAGTCAAACTGTAATTTCAGAGCAAAAAAAAAACACCGTCTGCTTAAGTAAATTGCAAATAATCCTACTAGTGAGCTTTATGGCATGTTCACATCTGACTACTTGCTCTGGCCCCCGTCTCTATCTCTCTAGCTTCTTTTTCACCAATCTTTTCTACCCTCTCCGTGCTCTAGCCACACTAGCTTTCTTTATACCAGCAGTTACCACCCTCTTTTTCATCTCAGGACCTTTGCACATGCTGTCCCTTTAACCTGGAATATTCTCCCCACTCACACATAAACATTACATAAACAGGATGTCTAGGATACCCCTTAAAATCCTAGTGTAAGCATATGTGCTTAGAAATCAGATGAACATACCAGGATAAATAACCTTTTCTACCCGAGGATTAGACTCCAGAAACTGAGCAACTGCCATTCCATTTTCAAAATGCTTCTCCATTCGGACTTGTAGAGTCTTCAGACCACGATTGCAGAGGTAACACTCAAGAGGAGACGGAACTGCTCCAAGAACTGTAAAATGAACAATCCTGGGTTAGTTTGAAAGTGGGGAGAAACCTAGAAAATTCTCTTGCCCCTCTTTTCCACTATGACTCTGAGAAGCTAGTTACAAAGCCCAATGTTTGAGTTTTAGGGGGAAAAATTAATACATCAAATCAGTAGCATGAAAATGAAGCACAAAATATGCTTAGAGAAACAGGCTTTAAAACGAGAGAGGAAATAAATATCCTGAAAAGTAAGTACAAACGCAGTGATATAAACTTTTTGAATATGAGCATAGTCGCTTCTATGATTTTAATGAAATGACACACTGCACATGGTTTAACCTCGTATTTCTTTGAAAAAGCATTACATGTAGAGAAAAACAGCAGTTCAGCTCCTATTATTCCTGAATGTTCTGCTAACATTCTATTTAGCTTTTGTCTAAAGCAGACTATGACTTCACATGCCTCCAGGACTTGCACTTCACTCCCACTTCTTATAAATGAAGGAATTTATCAAGCAATAAGTTTTGGTTTCCCTCCTCAGGGCCCCCTTTGGTTACTTTAATAATATTTCCTAGAAAGGCATTTTTTTTAAGCAGCTTAAAACACCAGACACTTATTATCTTCCCACAGGTCAGGGGTCCCAGCACAGCTGGGCTGGGTGCTCTCTCTGGTCTTACAAGGCTGCAGTCTGGTGTTGACTGGGCTGTGTTCTATAAGGGCATTTTTATTCCTAATTATGTCTGCATCTTATCTGTCAAATCGCAATGGTTAAACCAAGTCTCTTTAAACAAGCCCTTATCCATACTTGAGATAACTGAACAATGTAAACGGGAAATGGTGTTCAGACATCTGATGAGAAATATGTTTATATCTTAAGTGCTATTTAAAATTAACCACCATTCCAGATATAAAAGATATAGTACAAGAAAGCCATCATTCCAAACGATTTTTTAAAAAAAGAAAAAGAAATCCATTAAGTCTTAAAAGTAAAAATTCACTTGGGGGGCCGGCCCTGAGGCATAGCGGTTAAGTGCGGGCACTCCACTGCTGGTGACCTGGGTTCGGATCCCGGGCATGCACCAATGCACCGCTTGTCAGGCCATGTTATGGCAGCGTCCCACATAAAGTGGCAGAAGATGGGCATGGATGTTAGCTCAGGGCCAGTCTTCCTCAGCAAAAAAAGGAGGATTGGCATGGATGTTAGCTCAGGGGTGATCTTTCTCACACACACAAAAAAAAAAAAAAAAAAATTCACTTGGGTTTTACCAAATTATGATCAAAATTAACATGGATTTGAAAAATAACAAAATTCGTCTCTTATATCACATCATTAAGCCCTGTTAGGCTATAACTATATTTTTATAACCCAATTTTTCTTCTTTCCTCTAAAAATCAGAACTTTTCCCTCTACTTCTCATTTCTTCCTAAATTAGTAGAATGCTATCACTTCACAACATTCAGAGGAAATACAAACATCAAATGTGGTCACTCTGAGAGCATAAGGGGAAATCTGGACTATTTAATACTCACCTTCTTGCAGGAAACGGAGCCTACTATGGAGGCTATCAGAATTAAGAGACACTAAGCCCATTACAACATCACTGTGGCCTAAAACAAAATGAAAACCTTTAAGTTAAAAACAATGTATGTTTATTGTTCACTTTATAATTTCTAACATGCAACTTTCACTAGAAAAAAACTCTCTGGGAAAAATCCCTATAAAATAAGTTTAAATAAACTTCATTCAATTCGAGAGTAGCAAAAGCTATACATAAAACAATAAAATAAAAATCATGTAAAAATTAAATGTTTCTTTTTAAGCTGTCAGCAGGATAAAAGTATAAACTTTTATAGTAAATTTTAATCTTCTGCTAATAAAGCATGAGCATAGTTTTGTCTGCTATAAATGAAATCCTATATTTAATCAAATTATACTATTTTTTTCTACTTTCTACATGAGTCAGAGAAAATCTGAATAAGAGTAGAAGAAAAGGGATCCAAAATGCCAAGCCCTGTGCTATTTCATCTACGTGTGGAAAAGAAGACCCAAATGCAGACTGTGCGCATCTTACCGTTCACATACTTTGTTGCTGAACACATACAAATATCAGCCCCCAGAGCCAAAGGCCGCTGAAAGGAACAAAAGGTTTCTATTTTAAATGGGAAATCATTTGCAAATATGTTTCATGACTTGCCTATTTGCTGTTGTAAATTCCATTCCCATTCTAACTTGTCAAAAATACATACATCTTAAATTTTTCCCATATCTCTGATATTATCTTTCCCTTTTCTCCCTCTAACCAAACAAAAATACAAAGTATTAAGCCCAGTATTCAATCCAAAGGCACAAATTTTCTGGAAACAACAGATAAACTCGGGTCAACAGGTCTCCTGATCTGTTTCTTTAGAGTAGTTGCTGATTGGCCCCTAAATTTATTACCCACAGCAGAGATGTTGGCATTTTTATGACTCAGTAAACACATAAAATAGTTGACGTCAACATTCAGCCATTGTTATGGCAAGTAAGTATACAACTGATCTGCTTAGATTTTTAATCATTCAAACCTTACCATGTGTGCTGTGATTACTCACTTGGTTTGCCACGATTTTCACTCTTACTTACTCTTTTATTATACTAGTTTTGCCAAGTGGAAAGTCATTTATAAAGAAATTTGCTTGGATTATTTTCCTTCACTCAGTTTTCCTGCAAATTAATCCTTTAGTCTTAAAATGTCTTTGTTTATAGGGAGAGTTAAAGTTATAATCAACTTATTCACTAAACAATATTTTATCAACATCTTTCCACTTAACGTTTTCTTTAAAATAAAGAAAATTATTTTTTTATGTGTGTGTGTATGTGCATTAACCTTTGGATGGTGTTTAATCTTTGGAAGATCTTAGAGTAGGGGGCTATGAATCTTTTTCATTTGGAGTGTTTCAAAAATAGGATGTTTTAAGTAAGGTGTTGCTCAAAGCCCTCTCTACGTATGTGTTTGCTCATCTCCAAAGTGACGGATTGAACTAGATGATGTCTAAGGTCTCTCTTGGTGCTAACATTCTGGAAACTCTATGGTCAAAAGAAAAGGAAAAATAAAAACCAATAACTAATATCTGTTGATCTCATTATATGCCAAGAACCATGTTAAATACTTCACATAACCTAGTGAAGCACTATAGAAATACTCTACCCAACTCAACAAAATCAGTACCGTTATGACTCTGATCGTACAGATGAGGAAAGGGAACTAAGAAAAATACAATAGACCACTCGGATAAAAAACTGGTAGAGCCAGGACTCACACCTAGACTACCTGAATCCAGAGGTTCTACTCTGAAACTCTGGGCTGGTATGTCCATTTTGCCTTTTGTGAGACTTACAAAAGATCCAGAAGACAAAAGGCAGGGAAGAAAGAGAATATATCCAGTTTTCATGAGGGTGAAGCAACGAGAGGACCTTTTCAGAAGATTTGCTTTGTGGAACCAAGGCTTGTGGCTGCCTAGAGACAATGTGATTTTGAATAAATCAGCTGGAATGAATCAGATTGAAATGAAGCAAATTACAGTCCCCGGCATGAGGAACATGACGTGGGCTCCAGAAAGGTAGAAAAACCAGACCTATATTAGTGACGGTAATAGGAGAAAAAGGGCCAGGCCTGATGAGTAACCTAGGCAGGCTCAGCCTAAAACAACTCACGCAGTCTCTTTGGCAATATACAGGATTCAGCGTGACGCAGCTAGAGCAATCCTAGGCTGTATGAACCAGCCTCCTGTAAGTGGTATATGGGTAAGGAGTTGGGATAAAGAAACCAAGAGTGAAAATCACCTGAGACAAACAGATAATGCCAGGAGATTGTCACTTGGAAACAGACTGCTGTACCTGATACAAGAAGCAGCCAGAGCCGGCCCCGTGGCTTAGCGGTTAAGTGCGCGTGCCGACGCATCGCTTCTCTGGCCATGCTGAGGCGGCATCCCACATACAGCAACTAGAAGGATGTGCAACTATGACATACAACTATCTACTGGGGCTCTGGGCAGAAAAAGGGAAAAAAAGGAGAAGGATTGGCAATAGATGTTAGCTCAGGGCCAGTCTTCCTCAGCAAAAAGAGGAGGATTGGCATGGATGTTAGCTCAGGGCTGATCTTTCTCACAAAAAAAAGCAGCCAAAGGTGGTCGGCCAGTGAAGCTGTCTAAATGCAATAGCCAGGAAATGTGTTTCTGGAAAGGAACATAAAACATGGCACTGCCTTCTGAATAAACAGGAGGAAGGTGAAGAACAGGCTCACGCAGACTCCCAGGGCGTCGGCCAGTCACAGGGAGGCAGCAGCCTGGGCCAACCTCAGGGACCCAGAGCAGAAGGGGGAAATGTAAACAACTGAGCCTGTAAACATCTGCCTAATTGAAGAGCAGGAGAAAATGAGCTGGGGCTTCAGGAACTCTCCAGAACAAAGGGGAAATACAGGTAGTGTAATAAGAGTGACCACAAGGCAGAAGGAAAGAGCGGGGAGAGGGTGAGTCCTAATAAGGAAAGGAAACAGAGTTAGGTCACTCAGAGGAAATGAGGGAAAAGACAGACAAGTCAATTACAGAGAGATCCCAAATGACCCACCAAAAGGAGCAAAACAAAAAGGAAGAAGATCTGGAAAAAAAGTAGGAGGAAAAAGGAAAGGAATGGAGGATGAGTGGAGGGTTTGAGAGAGGGGGAGATGTCTGTAGAGGGGCAGGCAGGAAGAGACACCAGTTTAAAAGGAGCACTATCAATGCTTACAGCTACATGTGCAACATGAAGTAGAAATTCATAATACAAATAAGGCAAAGATACAGAGGGTGAGGCATAGACAATGGGGTCCTGAGAGAAGAGAAACGAGAAAGAAGAAAGAGAAATGGAGAAATAACACATGTGACATACAGTAAGATGTCATTGAGTATAGCTTTTCTTTTCCTTTTATTTGAAAGGTTGGTCAGGTAAAAAATATATATAAGCTTAAGTATATGAGGTGTGACTAAAAAACAATATGACTGACTTGTAACCAGCAAATAAACATGGAGGTCTCTCCTAACGGAAGGCCTCAACAGAAACAATCCCATAACAAGGCCAGGTCTTCAGAGTTCACACATCCTAAGAGAACCTAAAAGCTTTAATTAAGACAACATTTCAAACACACAGGGTCTCATACAAGATATTAACCTAGGGTTGAAAAGATATTAACTAATGGTAGAGAAGATTCAATTTTAATTCTCTCTCTAATCAATAATTATGATTAGATGTAATGAGCTTGAGAATGATTTTAATGTATACAAGTCCTTCCTTTCCTAATTACAAGTGTCTGTACAGTCTACTAACCATGGCAAAAAAGTTATTTTCATTTACCTGGAAACACGCTGACATAAAAGTGTTATCCACGACCAAAATAATGTCTCCATGTTTATGGACAATATGTGCACAGGCTTCAATGTCAACCATCTTCAAAATAGGGTTTGTGGGGGTTTCAGTCCAAACGAGCTAAAACAATTCAATAAATGCCAAAAGTTTGTAAAAACACACTGTACAAACACACATCCCATATACTGTGACTATCTGGGAGGCTACCCTGGAAGAGCATGGATGATGAAGTTGAAAGGTTAGAATCCGAATTCTAGCGCCTATAAATTTCAGAGAAGTCAGAGCTAAGGAACTTACCCTCTATATTCCTCAAATTCTTCATCTCTACAATGGGGTCAGTAATTATTTACCTGGTAGGACTGTTCTCAGGATCAAAAAAGATGATGTACATACAAGCAGAAAAGTGCTAAAGTTAATTATTGTAATTATTTTCCATAAAAAAGAGGATTATGCCAAAGACATAATTCAGTCTCTGGGAATTTTGTTCTCAAAGATAAATAACATAGTCTGTCTAAGGTTACATCCTAGAATTTTCATTAAAGGGAACTATCCCCATGATGTCAAAAAATCCTTAATATTAACTTAAATAAAGCCGGATGCACTAGAAACTATAAACTAAGTACCCAGGACTTGAAGAAGAGCATAGGTTTTAGAGTGAAGAAGAGACACACTGCAGAACGCCTGGCTACAGCTCACTTAAGAGAAAATACATGTTTATCTATATATTCCAAAACCTAGCACAATTCAGGCACACAGTGGATGGGTGATAGTTACTGAAGAGACAAAGAAAAGAAGAGAGTTCTATCTGTTAAAGAAGGTGCCACTGTATTGAATGACATTATCTACGGCTTTCTTTTTAAAAGGGTTAATGGTCCGTTTTTTATTACCTATATGAATGGACAAGAGATCTGGTTTAATACTCTTCCTACTCCGGAGTGTTACTGTAGAAAAGGTAAAGTAGTTAAAATAATGCATATTCTACAAGAACCAAAGTATTTAAAGAATCTATAAAAATTATGCCTGGGCAAGAATTTATTATTCCCACTGATAATAAAAAAATAAATTAAAATTAAGTATAAATATATACAAAGTAGTGCCATCAACTTAATATAGACTGCTATATATGTAGGTTACTGTATATGAACCCCATGGTAATCATAAACCAGAAACCTATAATAAATACACAAAAAACTAAGAGAAAGGAACCCAAAGATACATAATACTAAAGAAAGCCATCAAACCACAAAGGAAGAGAGCAAGTGAAGAAGAAAGGAACAGAGAAGAACTACTAAAACACCGAGGAAAAAAGAGTTAGAAAATGGCAGTAAGTACATACTTATCAACAGCTACTTTACACGTCAATGGACTAACTGCTCCAATTAAAAGGCATAGGGTGGCTGATTGGATAAAAAAACAAGACCCATATATAT